TATGCATAAAACCGTAAGATTTCTTACGTGGGAGTCAATCCTCGTCTTAAAGGTTTCATGGATGGAAATTAAATCTCAAGGAGAAAGAAAGTTCTCGAGAGTAACCTGGTTGGTCTTTCAAACAAGAATATTCACTGATTCTTTATTACCAGTGTAAATCTAGCCACGACTTATTGTTAGATACATCTACACCCTTAAATTTGATTAAATTATTATACTTTGTGCAAGTCTGGCGATAATATACAAAATACGAAGAAAGATTGTCAGATGCGTGATCGCTTCCTGCTTCTTTCTACTCTTCTCACAAATGGTCTCTTACAAGTTCTCGGAATTTTTATTTCTCTTTATGCATATTTCAATTTATCGTCTCTCTCTCTCTCTCTCTCAATATCTGTCGTGCTTTGAAATTAATATTTTTTAGATTATACAGAAATCATTTTTGTTTTTTTTCCGCCTTTACTGCTTCTCTCTTTTGGCCTCTTTCAGTTCTTTCTGTCAGAGTAATTTAATAACTCATATGAATAAAATCAAAGAGAAGCGAACATATTTCGCATTAGGAAATAGATTCGCGTGTACAGGAGCAAAAAAATATAACGAGAAAAAGAATATATGCATATAGAGAACATGTACATAAAGTTGACGCTGTTGCAACGTATATACTTGACTTTTCATCCGGCCTCAATAATTTCCGATCTATTGGTCAAAGGATATACATATACTTCGTTATCTCTTATTTAACGACGAATTTTCTTCTGGTACCCTCGATCGTCTCTGATCGTACGACGTGACTTTTCTAAAGGACAAAGGTCGCCAGAGAGAAATGTCTCAAAGTCTCAACAATAAAAAGGATTTTTTTCACAAACGACGACATTAAATTCGTCCCAAAACGATTCAGCTCCCGATGTGCTGATAAGCCGACGAATCTCGACGACACGATATCCGTCCGCTTTAATCCACCACTGCCAATCACAGCAACTCTCGCAGTAGCATTGAACAGCAAAGCCGCTCAATGCCTTTCGTGTGCTCTATATACACACATATCCGATCGCCTTTAAACCGGTGTTCGCTCGAGAGCTGTACGGAGTGGCGCGTTTCAATTGAGTACGCGGGATTCGGCTTTGCGTCGAGTTTCGGACGAAAACGGAAAAATCGTGAGATTCCCGGCAAATTCCCGTAATATCAAGTAAGCGAACGTAATGGAAAGCTCTTTGGAAAAGAGCGCGCGTTTTCGCGAAGCCCAGCACGTGCGTAAAAATTTCTTTCTCGCAAATACGCGAAATACATCAAGCGACAATGACAGAAACAATATTTGGAATTTACCTATATGAAAAACGCGTGTTTGACGATTATTAATTTTTTTCTCTTTCTCTCTTCCCTTCTCTGTTTTTCTCTCTTGCGCGCGCATTTGCGATCCGCGTTCTATAAACTTTGTCAACTGCTACGCAATATGCGATGGTTTATTTCGTTAGAGGCAATTAATTGCTCAATTATTAATCCGCAATAACGCAAGGGCGCTCGATTTTCGCAGCAGCCTCTGTTTGTAATACGTTTTCGTATATATTCATTACGAGAATAGTTCGAATAGTTCATTACTTATAATATTACGCGGCGTTATTATATTCACGAAACGATGAGTTTCCGACGCAGATAATCAAGAGTTTGTCGCGTATATCGAAACACTCTAGTATTATTCTAATTTTCACATCTTGATAATTATTATGATGAAATTATAATCTCATGAAATTATTGAAAGATGCGAAATATATCGCGATCATTAAAAGATTTCATTATTTATATAGTGTCTTGTGTTTGATCGAAAAATTGATCTTTACTACATTCGACGAACTAAATGTATGTTTAATAATAATATATATAATGAGGACAAATTGACTCATATATTATGCTAACATGTATATGAAAACACGTGTAGTAATTTAACCAATTTGGCCTGCGGATAATTCCGGCACCGAAAAGTTTGAAACATGCATTCGCGAAATTCTCTTGCTGCGAATTTACACGTGATACGAAAATTTGTTTTCATGTGTACGTAAAACTTACACATTTATATGTTAAATTGTTTTTTTTTTTTTTTGTTTTTAATAAATGCACGAAAAAGTTGAGTCTAAATTGATCAAAAGTATAGTCTTTAGATTTTGTTTTAACACGCTGTTCACAATAAGTATTTTAACATACAATGTGCAATGTTGTTGCATTTTTAGAACTTTCACTAGCAACATATGTATATTAAATTTTTTTAGTTCAAATAGAACATACATATTTAACACATATACAAGATATACACCTCCTTCTTCACCAGCCATAGAGCCAAACGCGATGTTATTGCGAAATTAAGAAAATTGAGGAAACTGGAGAAAATTGAGAAAAATCTTGTACATATATGTGTTATATTAATAAGAGCCGATATAATATTCTTAATATTAAATATTCTTATCATTATACATATTTAAATTTAATTCTTGCAAGATGATACATTATATTTTAAATTATGTTTACCACAAAATTAACGAATTATAAATATAAAATATTTAATATGTTTAAATGTATCTCTTTATACATCAAATATATTGAATATCTACGATATTAAAAAAGAAAAAATGTAAAATATAAATAAAATATTTATACTATTGATGTAATACGCGTTCAATTTACTACGCGCTAAAATATTAAATTTTATCAACATATACATTATACATATGATATTTATATATAATTATATTCTCCATTTATATCAAATTAATAATTTTAATAATAATTTTGGAGAATTGTATGCCTTCCTCAAATTTCTAAAATTCTCATGAAAGTCAATCACCGACCGTCACATCGATTTAATTCACGAGTCATTCGGGCGTGAAAATTGTCAAAAATAAAAATTAAAATTGTCGAGTGTTTCGATAAAACTACGTCAAAGTTAAATGAGATCGAAAGCTCTCGATCAGCCGCGGCGACGAGTCGTGTCAGTCGAAACAGCTATCCGTCGAGATATCGGACAAACGTCGATTAAATCGTTTTCCCATGAGATGAGAATCCTTATTCGATTTAGATTTCAGCACATGGAAACGAGATGAGAAAAATTATGCAAAGCAACGATCTCATTTTCCTAATACCCTTCTCTCAACTCTTTCTCTCTCTCTTTTCCTCTCTTTTTCTACACATTTTCTCGCAAACTCACCGTCGACTTTTATCGCAAAACAACAATCAAGAATTTGAAACTTTCTATCTCCTCTGAGAGAACACGCTCGCTCTCGGCCTATAGCTTTTCTGAAGAAAAAAAGAAGAAAATCTTACAGATTTAGTCGTAATTTATATATAAATATCTGAGACATTTTACATAAGCGAACGCAATTTTCCTCGAGGAAGAAGAACAATAAGTCGAGCTAGGTTTTATTTCTGGTTATCAATTGCGGTTATCGGTCACAACGGCTCTTTCAGTTTTTTCTTTCAGCCGGTTCACCGTTCCACGTTCGCTCTAACTCGGCCTCTCACCTTTTCCGCCTATTTCTTGGTTTACTCTTCCTTTATGGAACGCGCTCAGCCATCCGGAAGCCACTCTTTCTCATGCAGTTATTGACCTACTGAGTTTACCACGCGCCTCTAAATTGGTCGGTTTCTCCCTCTCGGATTCTCTCTGGACGAGTATGAGATGATGCATGCAGCCTCCGCAAGGTCGACAACTATGCCAATATCCGTCTGGTGAAGAAAGGAAAAGAGGCGAGAGAGAGAGAGAGATAAAGAGCGAGAAAAGATGACTGGTCACCTCCAGGAAACAAGAAAAAGAAATACTCGTAGATATATCACGAGTTCTGCTCCTCGATGACGTTTTATATCGGCACAATGGCCTCTACAATCTGCCGCGTTGAATATGAACGACGACTCTGTACAATATCATACCGTGCCGGAGATCGCAGCCATCTCGCAAATCGTTCGACCTAAATCACAATGGTGAATCATCCCGAATCGTAGCGCGAACACGGATTGTTATCTGGCTACCTTAATCCCGAGTGATTATTGTATCAAAAAATTGTAACAAAAAATGACTCTTTCAAACATCGAAACGAGACTAATCGTTTCTTGTAGTTTTTTGAATGTTGAATACAAATCCGGTTTTCAAATTGCTCCATCACGTCGCAATTTTGAGAAATGTTTAATTAAAGTTGCACAAAAGGGCTATTTTCACGAACTTTATCATATAATATTATAACTACAATTTAATATGTGACGTGTTGGAGAAGTTTTATTGCAATCAAAATAAAGTATGTTGTTGGAACTGTTAATTCTCAAAATTAATTTTTGGTATCGATTATATAGTTGGTTAAATATGAGCTGTGTTGCGGAAGTTAGCAAAGTTCGTGAAAAAAGCCCTTTCTTTAATTAAGAATTTCCCAAAATTGTGACGTGATGAAATAATTTGGAAACCAAATTCGTATTCAGCATCTAAGAAACAACAGTGTTATATACAAGCAATACCGATCGTCACCGCTGCTGGCTGCGTGATATCGTAGAAAATCCTCACGCTTATCAGCATTTCCGACATATATATCGACATTTCGCGTAAATGTAATCGCTAGTCACGGTAGAAGCGACAGAGGACGGAAATAACGTTTAAACGGACAATATTTCGATGATGTAGTTAATGCAATCTCTTGATAGTTCGAACATTACGGGTTGAGTTTTACGGCACGCTTTATCGTTACACTCCCGACTCGAAGTTTATCGGTGCTCTAAAGAGCGATATACGCGTTTTTTTTATCGCACTTGGATACGCGAGCTTTTAGCTTAATGAGGGAGAGAAAGAGAGAAAGAAAGAGGATCATTAAAATTCGTTCGAGATCCTGTTTTAAGTTGCCTGCCGAATTATATATTACGTGATATTTCTCTGTTGTAGGTGTCGATTTAAGCGTCATTAAAAACTGACGCTGTGTCTACTAAATTGCGGAAATTAACAACCCGAGCGACGTAATTAAAGTAAAAAGATTACTCACTTATTAATTTTACGAATGGTCTGCTTCAGCGCAGGAAAATCCGGCCGGTCCGCGGAATCTTGCGCCCAGCATCGTCTCATTAATGTAGCTACCTGTAAAATAAGAATTTATGTATTATATTATTTAATCTCGAAAATTTGTGCTTTTGCAAAAGCAATTTAGAGAAGAGAAAACGGCTAATTCGCAAATAATTATTATAATCTATTTACATATTATTATTATACATATTATAATATATCTGTTGACATGTTATAATATAACGTTATTTATAATAATAGCGATAATTGATAATATTAATTTGATAATTATGGAAATAAATCTGGCATAAAACATTATACGTATATATACCGAAATATAAACACAAATATGTGAACGTATTTAGAATGCTTGCTATGTAGAATGCACACTATGTAGAATGCTTGTTGATATTTACCTCTTCTTCAACAGAAGCATCGTCGATTACGGGTCTTAAAGGTGAACCGCCACCTCTTCTAACGCCTTCTACTATTTCTGCAACAAAGAGGAAGTGTGCGTCCCGTGATATCAAAATTCACAAAGTAATGTATAGAAAGAGGAAAAAAATCTCTCCCGCAAAGAGCGCGGAAATAATTCCCCTTGTTTAGAGTATAAAGATATCGATTACGACACGCCCCCGTTACACGGGCGGCAATGTGTGATAACGTGTTAGAAGACAATTAATGAGATACGGTGAAATATCCCGCAAAGTTGTAATTACTCAAAGTTGAAGCAACTCCGCACGCAACGGCGCGAATACCTCTGTTCCGTCGAATCAGTGAAGTAGCTTTGCGTTACGTCAGACCGTCCGCCCAGCGCGAGACATGCTCCCCTTCGTTCGCCTATTAACGAGCCTCGCTACTATCTACGCGTCGTTTCGCGAAGCAGCCGTTTGATCTTTTCGAGCAAAATGTCGTGTTCATACACATCTCTCGTTGTAATCCGAATCGCACACGTTTTATAAATGAGATACATTTATAGATTTATAGACATTTCGATAAATCATAAAACTATAATACTCTTTTTCTCTCGTCGCGAAAAAATAATATTTATTTCCGTCGAGAACAAAAGAGGAGATTGTTTCTGTAATTCGGATTGATTCTGAATTTGTTTCTGTAATTCGGATTGATTCTGAATTATAAAAATGCTCTTTGTTTAAGGCATAATTTATGTTTTTACTTTGCGGGATTAAATGTATTTTCATATACAAAATTATATACTCTAAAACAGTAGAACGCGCGATTATGTATACTCACGACGATATAAAATTAATAAGCGTAATTAACAAGAAAATTCGAGATAAAATCGTCGATTAAATCAAATTATGAAAAATAACAGCATTTCGTGAACGTTTAAAGCCGCATATATCAAAACGTAATCCAATAATACGATTTGTTTCCGGTCACGTACATACATATATGATGTACATCGATTTTATGACAAGTAGGAATTTTACCGGAACGGAATAGCGATCAACTTGTAAACGCATTCACGATATTTACGCTTCTGTCAAGATTACCCATGTAACATCGATATACTCGTTTTACAGAATCGTGGAATTAGGTAAATGGTTTTCAAGTATCATAGAAAAAGAAATAGAATCGAGATAAGCCGACATGCAAAAGAAGATATTGTTTTACGATGATGATATTACTTTAATAATAACGTGATTTATATAACGTATATTTGAAAAAAAAAAAACAATAAATTTTTCTTGTAAATCATATTGTCGCTCAATCAACTCTTTTTTATTACAAGTAAAACAAATCTCATTATTTTATTGCAGATTATTGCATAAATTAATGCAAGTTGTCACGATTGAAAAAAAAAACGATTGTAACAATGTAATTTATTTTTAGTAATTAAATCATATTTCTGCTTTTTATGTATTAACTAATATTTCTTTAGTTTTAATTCTTTTATGTTTAATTAATTTATATTTTTATCTAAAGTAAAAATATATATTTTTGTTTGTTTTATTTAACTTAATCTTTGATATGCCAAGCATACAAATAATACGGAACATCGAAATTACACGGTTTTGTATTTCTCTCTTGCCTTCAATGAGATTCAATAGTTCAATCACACACAAAGGAAGAATATAATTGTAAGCACTATACATATAAAATCTTCAAACACATTCTAGGTTAATTCCCGCATATCTATTGTAACGCGTTGTTACGCTCCATAAATTTTCGCTTGCGCAATCAATGATATCCGCATTTTCGTCGAAAGCAAAAGATCGAATGAGAAAAATTAAAAAGACGTAAGAAATAATTGTGTTAGAAACCAATAATTATATACACAGTGTGTAAAACCTGTTAAAAAATATAAATAATATGTATAACATGATCAATTAAAATTGTTAATAGTAACAATATAACTCGAATTGATTTCTCTTAATTATAAAAAATATTACATATAATATTTTTGATAATATCTAAAGATGCTAATGAATTTTAATATGAAAAACACGTCGACATTAATTAAAAGTATGACAAATTCATTGTGAAAATTTGCATCTGTGAATCATTTCCGCGCAATTATAGTTATTTATAATTACGAGTCCATATGCGTCATTGCTTAGCGAAATTTCTCCGACAACGCAAAAAATATCGACATAAATAATAATATACACATATACATACATTCCGCCCGAAATATATCTCTCATAACGGGAACTCTCTGCGATAGGATTGCAAAAGCATCTAATTTTATCCGAGGTCAATATCGGGCGTTATATATTCCGTTTTGGATTCGTCCTCGAGTGGGTGGTAACCGACGTAAATATGCTCGAGATGTAATTGATTGGGTATCGAATTCGATCGCGGCCTCAGACGGGAAACAAAATCCGCGTCGGCGGCGCGGCACGCAAAAAGGCAACCACACATACTGTGCCTGTAGATGTCCTCGAGGTATATGCTGCAGGACTCGCAGTTGAGGGTGCAGTGAGGCCTGCGGACCTCGAGCAGGGGACTGACGGCTCTCCTGGGACTGGCCCCGCCGTCGGGACTCGTTCCCAACATCGGTGGCAAAGTCAGACTACTCGTGCTCGAAGCGTTACTTCTCTCCGCCATTTCCGTCCTCGTCCTCTCGTGGACGTCGATCAAGGGAGACTCAAACTGTCTCGCCGGACAGCCCTTGAAACATTTATCATTGCGCGATCTCTCTCCTTCTCGTCTCCTCTTTCTTCTTTCGTGAAATTCCCGATTTCGCTACGTGCGCACGCGTATACGCACGAAGCGGAAATCGTATTATTAATATTCATTGAATCAGCATATCCGACAACACGATGGAATTTCATACGGCGAGAATTAGTCATCTGCGCGAAATTGCACGCTCGAACGCGTTAATAAATCGTATGTGTAGAAAGTTAACTCGTGATTGCATCGCTTTTTGATGAACGGAAATTATCGAAAAATACTTTCCGATCGTTTGCGACGTGCGTTGAAAGATGGGGAATATAAATATAGATAGAGAAGAGAGGCATTTAAAAATGCTCTTTTCGGAGCATGTTACCGAAAACAAATATAAAGAATATAAACAGATATAGATTGTATATCTTCGCGTGAATGTTACATGTCATAATAATTTTGATATACTGTAATAATTTTGTGGATTGTATATTATATAAATAATATCTGTATCGCGTATTTGTATTTTTGCTATACATATTTATCTTTTAAATAAAATATATATAAAATATAGTATGACAAATATTTTAATCAATAAAATATCAACCAATATCACGTAAATTTGTATCACACTTATTGGAAATGCAATTATATTCAAGTGTATTATATATCTGAACGGGCATATTTTATTTGTGCCTGACATTTACAAGCACATTTTTACACAGAATTAATTTTCTTGACCTTTTAATATGCAAAGATCAAGTATACTCACGTATTGCGTAAACAGTATCCGCATAAACTATTAAAATGTGTACCACCATTTTCTTCCAAGAATATATATTTACTTTGTTTCGTTTAAAGGCTTACATTACTCTGCGATGAGTTAAGAAAATATTTATAAGGAATTTTGCATTTTGTGCTTCTCATTCTTTCGAATATTAAATATTTTATTCTTTTAAATATCAAATATTTCTTTAATCTCTCTAATTTGGATTAATATGAATAATTGTTTACAATTGTTGCTCGTTGTTATCATTCTTCTATAATAATCAAAGAACACTTTGCAAATAACAATCCTGGCAGCAATTAAAATAAATTAGCAAATGCAAATTCGCTGAAATTAATTCACATTTCCATGAAAAGTGATTGTTTTGTTAGATTAAATATATGCATACGTAAAATACCTAATATTGAGCATCAAATCTCCCGCGACTTACTAATCTCATTTATAAAAGTTATGTTATGTGCAATCGCCCCTAATTAATGAAGCTGTTACCCGAAAGACCTTCCCGAAGCGCTCGTGCATAAAACGAGCGTAATGATCATCATAAAGTTTAATTCACATGTAATGGTATTATAAGTGATTTATTCAATGGAACTTTGTTAAAGTAATATCGATGACCTTGGATCGTCGCTCTCTCGACTTTGATTTTTTCCCTTCTTATCAACTCCTTCCGACATCCCTATCCGATCGTTTTACGACCAACGACCCTGTTTTCGTCTGAGTTCACGAGGTCATTGCTTTCGATATTTTACTATGAAAAAAAGAGATAGAGAAAGAAAGACGCGTTTCCGCGAAGAAACGCGGTCGTTGAAACAATTACATAATCGTTGTTTAATTTAACCACCTCCTAAAATTTGAAATAACTCGAAAGATTTTCTCGCATCGCCACTACTAGCTTTAAATGGATAAAGGAAATAAAAAAGTTGAGGATAACTAAAATTCAGCGAGTCAGAGAGGACACATTTTCGAAAGCGAACAAACTCGAGGAAAGAATAACGAATCGCTAGATTGTAACACCGAACGAGCAAATAATTCTCTTCGACGCGGATAACAGCGAAAAACTTTCCGGAAGTCCCGCGGGCAAGCCATTCGATCGTGCTTCCGATAAGATCTAAGTGCTAGCTCTGTCGCGTCTCTCCTACTTTCCTTCTTTCTCTCCTTCCCACTTTAACGTGGGATTTCGACGCATTAAGAAACACCCCCGACTTTCTGTCGCTTTATCCCGGCCGGGTCCATTTCCAGGTCTTTGCCTTCATGACACAACCGACACCATTGAACTTTGCTCTCGTGCTACGCACGCCGAGTTTAACTTCGATCGCAAAATTGAGTTTCAAGTGACACGTCGAATTTTTCACGCGTGACGTAACGAATTTTAAAACCGAGGGAAGAAGGAAGGAAATTGTTTCCCTCGGGTTGCTTCCTCTCTTTGCACAATACGCTGCCGAAAACGTCTTGTTGAATTAATGACTGCGAGCCACGAGCTCGTAACCTCGATTCCACCACCGAGAGAATTAGCGCGAAAACGTTCCTCACCTAGTTATTTCGCAAGAAATAAAGTCGGGATGTGAATTAAGTAATCACGAGTGAGAAAGAAGTAGGATTTGTTCGACATCTTATCAACATAAGCGGGCAAAATTATTATATAATATCCATATATATACATATATGTATAATGTATATTTACTTCTTAATATATTTTAAATTTTTATTTTTAATTTTACAAAAAATTCCGAATATTTAACGTTAAAACTCCAGATATAAAAATCTGAAGCGATAAAAAAGTTACGGATGTGCTGTATTAAAAAAAAAAAAATTCTTCACATAAAAGAAAATCATTGTCCGAATAAAATATTTACTTTAAATTTATATAAGTGCGTAATACTCTTTTTAAAAAGAGAAAGGAAAGTTATATTTTCCCAGAGGAAATCCTCGAAAGTACTTCTTTTCATCGCGGTTACATAAATAAGAATCCTGAATAAAAAACTTTGGACATAACGAAAGAACATAAGAGAGGAAGATAAGAAGGAGATATACTAAAGTACATTGCAATTTCACACTATCGTGAACATATAGCGCGCGTAGCAACAGCAAAATAAACGGCGAATCTGTATCACGACGAATACAAATGTACATATCTAGAAGGATATATTATATACGCACTGAAAAAAATGTTAACTTGACAAAATCGTTAAATTAAATATCATTTTGTTAATTAAACATATAGAAATATTTAAATTAAATATAGCACATTAAATCTAACAAAACGTGCATATTTGATTTAAATACTAATATATGTTCAATTAGCAAAATAGTAATTTAATTGAACGATTTAGTCAAGTCAACAACTTTTTTTCAATACAGGATAAAAAAAATGAAAATATGAAATAAAAGAAATATATTGAAAATGCCAAAGAATGTGCTTATGCGGCCGGTGAACTCGAATGTGGAACGCGAGACTCGGTCTGATCAGTTATGCGATGTATCACTTGCCGGATCATTACGAGCACTATCTCCTGGAGATCTCCGATCCCAGTTTCTTCCTAAAAGTCTATCTCGGCAGATCTCGTGTTCACTCTAATCCATGAAACTGCACGGCATATATGACATGACAGTCGAAAAGTTAAATCTGAGCAGTGATTCAGGTAAACGGATGATCGGACTTCCACTTATAATCGTAAGATAATACTGGAAACACCAGAAATTGGAAGTAAACTTTTAATCCCGCGGCGAATTTACACGACATTTATCGGTTTATTCAATCTAATAGAACCGAGGGACACCGAGTTATCTCCACCAACATCATTAAAGATTTACTTTTAATTCCATCGGTGAGTTCACTTCTACACACAATCGCGGATCTTCTCTCTCTCTCTCTCTCTCTCTCTCTGGCTCTTCTAATAAAGTATCTCCAACACAATTAAAGATGTATTTCCTCTTTAATAAGGTTTCTTCTCCATGCAATCCTTTTAGAACTGTGTTCCCTTCAGTGGGAAAAACTTTAAAAGTGAGCTCTATACATTTCGTTTAGCGAGGACCCTCTAACACGGTCACCGGGATTTATTCGGTGCGCGTTTTCCTCACGTTCCGCTGCGATGAAACAATAATTGCTTTCGCGTGGCTGTTACGCGGATATTAAACGAAGGTACGTCGACCTCTGCGGATTCTGTTTTCGCAATCGATATTACGCCGATGAACAATTAAACGCTGATAAATCATACGAATGAGGGTTCACGCAACGTCACGTTCGCGTGATTACACATAATTAAAAAGAAAAAGAAGGCAAGAAAAAAAGAAAAAGGGAAGGGGGATGAAAACACAACGCACGGTATGCACGCACATTGTTGTCGGATATGCCGCTCGGCGAGGAATCTCTCTTCCTTCAAACAACACGTACGTCTCCGTTAATAGGCCGTAAATTCGGGCATAAGTGGTGCCCGCTGAATTCACGTGTCGCTCGCCGAGAGTGTGTTTATGTATCGGAACGAAGAGAAAGAGAAGGATAAAGAGAGAAGGGGTAGAAAAAGAGAGAGAAAGCGATATCGAAAGGATCTCGGCGGAGCGCGCGCGACAGCCGTGTGCGTTCTAGGACGCGTGAGAGCCTCGACTGAGCTTTCGGCATGCTGCTACGGAACTCGACGACACATTCCATCCTGCGATCGATCCTCGCGCGCAAACCGACAGCTTTGCGAGAACACAGTTACCGATTGACGAGCTCGTCGATTCTGTACCTGGAGAACGCGAAACGCGACGAGCTTTCGACGGTAAAGCTCGGCTTTTATCCCGTCTGATCATAAAGTATCGATATCCACTGAGAACTCGAGCTTTCATCTCTTTCATATCACAGATATCACTGATATCGGATTATCAACGAATCTCGCCTGCTCTCAGGAGAAGAGATCATTGATCGGATCGACACGTACTTGCAAGCTCTGCGTTACCAAGTTCTGATTTCATCTTTTATATTATCCGAGAAGATATTTATTCTCTTTTTATCAGATATATTTATAAATTAATTTCTAGTCTATATTTCTTTCTATTTTATATTGTGTCGATGTTGCTAATTTCTCGCAGAAAAAATTTAATGTTTCTTAATAGTTTTATGCAGTCGAATCCAGATAAGAAATGCAATTTTAATAGATCATCGAATAATAATTTCCAATTTTAAATTCTCGATTTTTCATAACATGTAATCTGTGCGACAATGAATATATTTGCCTTAAATAATTTAAACTATATCATTTGCTCTCTGTTCATTATATCTCGACTGTCGATAACAGACTGTATAGACCTCAACGAGAGCTTGCAAGCTCGCAGTTCCGATCAATAAGATTCCTTGAGAAGCTTTAGTAAGCCCTGATACTAGCTTGGCGGCCGATAAAACGGTGAGCTTTATTTATCAGCAAACAAAAAGCTCGTTTGAAAAATTAATTGCAAAAGTGAAAGAAATATTAAGCATGGCTTATATTATTACGCCTTCATTATTAATTCAAATAATGTTGAAAAAATTGTGTCAAAAATATTCATTAATATAAAATATATTAAAAGATTTTATAAAAACACAATTTTTCTCGCGTAATTTAAAACTTTCGTAAGAAAAGTATTTATCGTCGAAATCTCCTTGTGATAAAAATAATTAATAACTAAAATCACAACACGCGAGATACGTCTGCGATCTCATATTGGGGAAGGCGCTATAATTTCTGCACATGTTTTGCAGCCCGCCTTATGTAAAAGTTCTGAGAAGATTATTTCACTCTTTATTAAAACCAGATCTTAATGTGCGAGCCATTACGAATCACGTCACGCGAGGATAAAAATTCGTGATTATGCCGAAACATACTCTGACTCTAAAAACAAGGGCAAAAAAGTCAATATTGCACGGTAGAGTGTAAGTAGTTTTATATCGTGTACGGGATTCCAGTTTTTCCGTTGATCGCACATTAAAATTGTTTAAATATCTAAAGCTAAACGAAACGCGAGAGCGTTTGCAAAAATGACTGCTTTATCGAGTATCGTAATATAAAATTATGACTTCAAGTTTAATCTATCCTGCCCATCATTTAATTCATTTCCCTTCATACATAGTAAAATGCATTAAGCATTGTTTATCGAGGTTTTCTTCGCGCCGTTGTTGCGCAAGAGAAACAATGTATTATTATACATCTACGAAACATCTTATCCTTCCGGGTTTTTATCGTTCTCGTGCTGATATTAAGATCTTAATCATTTAGATGAGCTCAATCTCTGATATTAAAAATGAAATTCTTTAATTAACGTAATATATATATTTCTTCATATTATAATAAAACTTAAAAAAATCACTTGTCAAAATTAATAGCGATTTTGATTTCTGCACCAATGATCTAAATAATGAAAAGAAAACACACATAATTGCGCGCTCAAATTTATCTACCTGCTCTCAGTTCTAATTAAACTGTGATGCAAATTATGCCTACGATACGATATTATTAAAGTAGGCCGCCTTTGTTGCACCGTTGTCGCGTTAAATGAAACACGACAAGAGCCAATTGCATGTATTCCGCGATTATCTCGAATGACGTTAAAGACTCACCCTTCGGAGAGAGATCGTTATTGTCTCCCAAGTAGAATGGCCCTTGGCGCATCACGATCTCGTGAACGATTATAGCGAAGCTGTATACGTCGCCTTTCTGAGTGCCCTCGGGCGGTCGTCTTTCCGTCCTCAGCAACTCTGGTGCTGTCCACAGCTGTTCTGCAAATATCAAATTTCCTATGCTCTAAAAAAAAGCAAAATCAAAGCACCAGAACGATTCGATTCTTTTTTTCTACTTTTTCGTTTTTGTTTATTGTTTATTGATTTTTTTTTTTTTTTTACGGTTATTGCACAAACACGAATATTATACGCAAATATTCGGACAAAAATAAAGTAACGTCGAGGTAAAAAATATTCGTCGTTCAAAATTCCCGATATACGTAAACCATTGACTAAACAAATGTCTTTCTACAATACATACACTTGATCGCAAACCTGTATGTATATACGTGTGTGTTTGTGAGTATATATGCGATGAAATAACCGTCCAAATACTGTTTAATCGCAAAATCAAATTCTGTACGTTTATTCTAAATATTATCTCCGTTCCTCGCTCGTGTTCTCTCACACATTTTTCTTTTCGCTCGCGTTATCCGCACGCGCTTGGAAAATATTTCACTCTCGCAAATTCTCGCGAAAAAATATCATCATCAATCATAACTTGTTTTTACGAATGTACAATTCGATCTATATAAACACGTACTTCTCCAATAAGCGTAGCTATTTCTGTCCGCATCCGCGTCCGTCCTTCTGAGCTCGTGCAGACCAAAGTCGGCGATTTTCAGGACGAATCGAGAATCGACCACGCAGTTCGTGGACTTGAGATTACCATGACTCTTCAGCTCCGACGCGTGGAGATACACCATTCCGCGAACGATATCGTGTATCAAGGATCCCTGAACACGCGATCGAGCTTTATCTGCTCGTTCTCCAATATATCCTGCCCGACAGCAAAAGATAAAGATAATAAAGCACGGTGTAACGCGCAAGCTGGATCCTATGATGTAACTTTATATCTCGATCAAGCTTTCAATACATCGTAGACAATATTATTGTTATATTCAATATTATTGTAATAGATATATGTGTTATGTTTTAACCCAAATGTTTAATACATATATGTTACAGTAATAAAGCTCATAATATACAGGTCCACTTTTATCCTTGCTAATAGAAACTGCAATTCGGGCGAAGCAAACTTGGGCGATGATTCAATCGAGAACTTAAAGTTACAGCATAAGGCAAGACAGATATCCAATAAAGTGGAGTACCTTTGTTTCGTATATAGAACGCTTGCAACGTACAGACGAATGCATTTACGGTGTGCGAGCGCATGCTTGTCAGTGCACATTCCTTCTCCAACATTAAAGCATCTGTACGTATATATGTGTGGGCGTGTACACATAGTTCTCTCAATATTGTATGTATAGATAATATACGATATTATGGATTCGACAATATTACAATATGATTTATGTGACAAATTAATGGCAAATATTCTAACTAATATTGAAAATTAATAGGACAAAATTATATCATTGCTCCCATTTTCAACATTGTAGCATATTTATTTAATAAGGTTGTTAATATCCGTAAAAGTTTTCGTACAAATAGATTAAGTCAATCAATTTGTAAATTTGAAACGATGCTTCAATATTTTTACTGAAAATTCTCCAAGTTTATAGATAGTATATAATTAACATTAAAATTCCGAGTCAAAGAACATTTAGCAAGAACGCACACGTATTTATCTGGTTTTAATTAACATGCGGAATGTAATTACCGCAGTTGCTTATCAAAACTTAAATTAGAGATACAGAATGCAATTCTCACCTGAAGAGATCCTTTAGGGCAGTATTCGGTTAAGAGGCAACAATGCGGTGGCTCGAGACAGGCACCGTAAAATCGTACAAGATGATCATGCTGAAGATCCTTCATCTGCGAAAGTCACCAAAATTACTACTCATATGAATTATAGCCTATTACATGCAATACCGTGTATGCTGGATGAAGAAATTAAATTACTCACAAAGAAATAATTTATCGAGGATTATTATTGAGAGAAAAGTATATCTCGGAATTTTATCAGTGGATTGCGTTTAATGTATATATTAAAATTGATACGCAATAAAGATACGCATTGTTTGCAAAATCAATTTACTTACCCGCTTTAATTCGAGCAATAAAGGCCTGGAGATCTCGACTTTGTCTCTCGGTATCACTTTTATAGCAATTTTTGAGTTCTGAAACAAATTGCGATTTTTACGATCAACGGAATTATTGACACTGTCAGTAAAAAAAATAAATCGTCTCTACAAAAGGCGATCTAGCCTAGAGATATAAATTGAATCAGCGTTGAGTGTCGACAAAATCCGTTGATTTTTTTGTTGTTCGACAGTATAAAGAAGTTTTATGGGAAACAACTCATTGACTTATTGAAAAATAAAAAAAAATTATAACGACACGATAGGAAATTTTATGAGAAATTTTTCTAAAGTAGCAACCGCGCGATAAAATCATTCAATAAATTGAAAATCTCGCTACTATTTTATTCACACTTGTAACTCCATTATATACCGTTTTATTGAAACAAAATATCCAATGTTCCAAAAGAAACTGAAATGAATATTGATTGGCACGTGTAAACACAAAATAGATCCATTTTTCTCTTATATATGACGCTTGTACTACGTAATCTATATTTTGATTATAAAATAATATTTAATCCTATTACCGACATTTAATCCTATTAGAAGTGAAAAATGCAATGACGATTCGGATATTTAAAAAAAAATATGTATACAGATATAGTCTATTGTGACTTATTTTCTCTCTTTCAAATATATATATAATCATGCTATATATAATATATGTATAGCATGATTGATGATACGCGCCACGTGTTTGCGTCGAATTAAACACTATATATATATACGATAAAATAAAAAGGAAATAAAGTCTAACCTTATAAAATCCCGTTGGAACATACGCATTTTTATCACCATCATCCGGCATACTTGCGTTATCCTCGGAATATATTGTCTGAAACAGAAATTATACCTTCAATAATTATTTGTATTATGCAAGGCGAGCTACGCATATAAAGCAGATTATCTCAGCTTGCCAGAAAATATTTTACAGAGATTCTCTGACAAATTTATAATTTTTCTATATTTTTAAACTCTAAAGATTAAATATGCTTTAGTTAGTATAAAACTTTTAACTAAAAGTAAACGCGAGTTTAACTAAAGGAACCTCTCGTTATTCAATACATTTAATAAAACTCTATTTAAAACGATCTCCATTCACGAGCGTTCAAAATCGAAGACTTGGTATGCTTTCCTATTAAACAAAGTTTGGCTGCAAGCTAGTCAAACTGTCATTAAATTCCGTTAAATTTAAGATCAAAGATTCCGAAACGAGGATGCGAATAAATTGAAGGTCAAAGCAAAGTCATATTCTCATTCCTTCCGCAATTGATTTTTTCGTCATAAAAATAAGAGTTTCAACATTAAATTCAATTATAAGATATATAGATGCTTTTTCTTTCGTTTCCACACCATAAACGATAAGAAACGTAGTTGTAACATATAATGAAATAAAAAGTTTTTTTTTACTGCTCCGCTATAGAGTAAAGAATGGCGAATGCTGCGGAAGTAAGCAAGAGAGTGCTGATTCGTGAGATGATACTTTTCCATTATTGTTTTCTTTTCTCTTTTCTGACTTCCTGCCTAAGATATAAGCGCGTTAAGACCAGAATCGCTGTTGGAATGAAGGTTCGGAATGAAAATTTGATCGTCGCCGCTGTTGTTTACCTCATCCACCGTAGCTTTATCGCGATAGCGAATATTTACCTAAGTTTCGTTGGAATTATCCTACTTGAAATTCTAAAATAATCAAATCGTCGTTTTCGCGAAACCAAACAAGTTTGCCTCGCGCGACAATTTCACACGGGAATTGCAATCCCCTTCTCTCATATTTACCAGTTGGCTGCCGCGAAACTTATTCGCAATCAGAGAGTACATGGAGCCTCTTGTCTTCGCGTTCGGTATTACGATTACGTCGTCCCAATGCACCTTCCACGTCATGGAGGCAATTTCCGCCTCCAGTTTGAAACGTCTGGAAAACAAACGACAGCATTATCGCACCGACAAAGAAGAGGATGTTGGTGGGAAGCTTATTAAAAAAATTTGCGAGATATTTCGCGGTCGCGCGCGCGATAAACCGTGTATGTGCCGTGAAAATTAATTCCTCTCGTTCTTTTCTCTCCCAACACGACAAAGAATATTTTCACCGCGCTTTTTCGTCGATTAACGACGATCCTTTTATCAACGGCAAATTATCGCAATGTCGTAACGGCAGTATTTTGTAAAGAGACGTAATTGATCAACGTCTCGCTAAATCTATCGTGTCGCACGTACGTTCAGATATCTACGAATGTGCAAAGTTGTATAGAACTGAACAAGTTCGTAATCCCCGTGTGTGAACGTACATCGAACAACGCAAAAGGTAATTATGGGCCGACATATATCTCATAACCACGTGCCTATCAGTCCCCATGGGAGATATTATTCCGCGCATAAAGGTTTCCTATATGTATGGAATTTCTGGAATTAAATGAGTTTGATATATTCAACAGAAGTTATACCGGGGAGGGAATTAACCTTACACGCACGTTCTATTCGAGGAGCGAACTGCGAACGAAAACGCAATCATTGTTCGAAAATCGTCGCAACGTATTATAAGTTTCGATCAGAATTTTTATTACGATTTATTATTCATTCGATACTGATCAATTCGAAGGAACAATAATTTTTACGCAAATGTATTCGGAAACAAATTAATTAATGAAAGGCTCGTATAAATTAACGAAATTAAAATCAAATATTAAAATGATTTTTATGTATTGAAGAAGACTGTATAGTGCAGTCGAAACGTTTACGTTGTATATGTTTCTCTAATGGAATGAGAATTTAATTATTAATAAATCTTTAGATCTTATGTAATTTTGCTCGTTTAGTTGGCTTACAATATTTATTTCTTTTAATATTCGCAAACAACTAAATTCAATGTCATTATGCGTCAGTGTTTCAATAATTAGCAGTTACCTAATAATATAGATCGCTAATAAAATTTACCGGCAACTTTTTGTGTTATTTCTAATCAAATTTTCACGGATATTTAATCTTAGTTTAGCAAATCATTTTTAAAAAGTTTTCTCTCTCAGCGAATATATTATTTTGATATAAAATAATTTTATTTACATTTTCAATACGAGTGTGTACCTAATAATACCATATACATCGCTAACAAAATTTACCGGCAACTTTTTGTGTTATTTCTAATCAAATTTTCACGGATATTTAATCTTAGTTTAGCGAATCATTTTTTAAAAAGTTTTCTCTCTCAGCGAATATATTATTTTGATATAAAATAATTTTATTTACATTTTCAATACGAGTGTGTAACTCTGAAGATGCAATATTTGATTATCAGGAAAAAGTAAAATATGTCTCTGTCTCTCTCTCTCTCTCTCTCTCTCTCTCTCTCTCTCTTCTTTCTCTCTCTATATATGTATATATATATGATTGTATGTGTGCTCAAACTATAAATTATAAAAAAAATTATATAAAAAAGAGAAAAATATATATGTAATGTATAATAAAAATTATTATATATACATGTATACAATTTTTCTTTCTTATATAATTTTCTTTATAAATAATCATACATAGTTCGAAACGAATGGCGAACATTCGTGTAATTACTCATCAAAGAGGCATTTCCCGCAAAATAAAAGACGAAAAACTGCATAATGCAGTTAAACTACTTCCTACTGCACTTCGCTCGCGTTTCCGAACACTGGAATCATATCAAAAATATATGTCATTCACGCGCGTACCGCAAATTATAAGATTAATTTATCTCGCGGAGTTTCTACAGCGCTCTATTAATGTCGTATAAATTGAATTGACCTCAATAATAGAAAACGCAAATAATTTTATTCGCCTTACGCGATTGGGTACGTAAAATTGAGATGTTTCCGTTGAAAGAAGCTCGATAAAAGTCTTCAATCTTCACGTCGAATTCTTCAAATATCGAAGAATTCGACGTGCTTGAAAATAAACATAGATATCGTCCGTGTGTGTGAAAATAGTTTATCCCATTACATAGACAGATTTTAATGCGTCCTAAAGAAAGTTTTAATGTGTCATTCACACACACACAAAACTGCGTTTTCGTTTCTCCGATTAAGATCCTGCAGAGAGATACGACATGTATAAAACCAAATTACAAGGCGACAAAATATGTAATAAATTCGCGAAAACGTCGAGAGACTCTCGAAAAATATTGAATAATATTGAAGAAGAATAATATTGTAATAATTGTCAACAAAAAGCGCCCATGAAAGACACGAATTATCTTTTCTCATAATAAAATGTTTAAGATCATATCGTAAATAATACGACTGATCCGAATTGACTCGCGAAATAAAAGGTAACAACTTCGTTTAAGTGTTTTGAACCACTTTCGTGGCCAACAAGCTACAGACAAAGACACTTGGGAAAGATCGCGTAGCAAAATCGACAGGCGAGATAAATCGATTAACTCAATATACGTTGGAAATTTTGCCACAGATAAGTATTATCGCGCCTTGTTCGCGTCTACCTCGTTACCTCGCTCCACTTGTTTCTACCTTCTTTAGTGTCTCTTTGCCCTATTAATGGTAGCGTACTCGAAGTTGAGAAGTTTCGACTATACGTTCTTAATATGTGTATGTGCACTTGACGAATATTACTGACGAGATTATCGAGATAATCTTCTCACCAAAAAACGCGCGCGACAAGCTTTTTTAAATTTCTAATCCAGTGAATCCACGTTATTAATGCGCATATCAATTCGCATGAATCAGCATAATATATCTGACCGATATTTTTTGAATATTTGAATACTGTGCACATTTTTAATTTGATTTTATGTCGTTTTAATTGTTAATTTAATTTGTGAAAATTCTACATTTCTTGTTTCGAACTATTTTGGCGAATTAATATGAATATAATATTACTGTGGAATTGAATATGCACAATAACACAATCGTTTTATAATAAAAATAATAAAATTCACGAAACAGTAAAATCGTCTCTAATAAAAAATCGAAAGAAACAGAGAGAAAAGGGAGCCATTATTAAATCATCATACAATTTAAATCAAAGATGCACAGTTAACGGTGATTGAAGTAAAAATTATTATTCGCCTGTTTTTATTGAAGCACGCGTATAATACCGATTTTCTAGATCTTTTTTTCCTCTTCGCAAAGTACATTTATATTTGTCCGGTTTGAATATTGAATTGATTTTTCGATATCTAAATATCAATTTGCGTATCACTCAATAGCATTTACATCTCCATTAATACCGACGAAAAAACACGCCGGTATAAAGAAATATATGAAATCTACTACTCAAAAAGCAAACCTTTACTTACCGATAAATAAATACTGAACCGACGACAAGAACGACTACAATAGAGCTCAGTACCATGGAGAGAATGGCGTAGCCCGGAAGAGCTGTCGAAACATTAGTAATTTAAATGAGAGAAAATATTATACTTTCCAAGAGCCAATCTCAGATGACTCCGTGCATAAAATACATTCACATAGAATTTTTTTATGTCAATATAATTATAAAGAAGAAAAAACTTGTACACATTTATATCTCGCAGTTTATCTAATCAATTATTAAATTACATTAACATAATAAAGTATACAATTATATAAAATATATTTTCCGTCTCCCGTGACTGCATACTATTTCTATCGCACTCGTAATGTACATAGTGTACATTAAATTATGGAGACAAATATAAGATCCATTTAATCACTTATACATATATTTAGATTCAGCATTATTAACTCACAATTATCGGGACACAAGGATCCGTCGAATCCACAAGTAGGAGTATCCGGAGGTGGCTCTAAACGGCCACCAGCCCAATGAATATGCATCCCAGGAATATACTCCAATGTTTTGTTAGCACCGTAGTAATTTGCTACAATCTGCGAGAAATTATTTCGCAAATAAGATAAAAAGCAACTACAAAGATGCGAGAAGCAAACATACAAGTAACAGAGCGAAATAACATGCTCTTTAGAGAGAAATGTTGTAAGATTTTACATTCAATCTTAGCATGACACGCTAAATGCATTGTACATTGTCGCAGATTAAATTGCTTCAGTTGCTACACGAGACGTTGGATAAAGTTACATCTCAGACGTTGAGATACGTAGAATATGAGATCTCGAGGATATCTTACTTCGAATCTGGATGTTTCCGGATCCATATCCAGGAGAGAATAATCCGCGATTCTGTCGCCGTTCTCATCGATGTTTACGACGCCGGTTATTCCTGGAATTAATTGTTTGTAATTGCGAAAACATAAAATGTCATTATATATTGCAGATTATTCGGTGCCGTTTAATCAGAGTTAAAGATTACAATTGATAGCAGTTGTTGAATCGATAATTCTCAAAAAAAAAACCTATATTTCTCCCAGTGATAAAACCTCGCTTGGATGAGATGCAGTTGGAGATGATAAAGATAACCTTCTCTCTCTCTCACACATATGCACATAAAAAGACAAAAATACAGAACGCATTAAAATACAAAATAAACTAGTCATCTCGCATTCCATATCAGCTATATCGACCGCAAGGTTTTGCTGCGGAAAAATCAAGGATCACGAAGATTGAAATGAAGTAGCATAATATAACAGAACGAAGTGCGTGATACTTCAAAGATTGTCTGTAAGATGAGATGTAAAGCTAAAGCCAACATCAACTATTTGCATTCTCATATTGCGAAGTAAAAACGAAGCAAGATATTCAGCAAGTAAGATATTAGATCTTCAAATACTGAAAAATCTAAATGTATTCATACACAGAAAACATTATTTATTTACTTTAAAATTATTCAAGAAGTTAAAATACTTCACCATTAAAATATTTCAATAAAAAATTACTTCACAATTAAATAAAAAATTTTAAAATTAAAAAAAGTATATAAAAACAAAATATTCAGCAAGTAAGATATTAGATCTTCAAATACTGAAAAATCTAAATGTATTCATGCACAGAAAACATTATTTATTTACTTTAAAATTATTCAAGAAGTTAAAATACTTCACTATTAAAATATTTCAATAAAAAATCACTTCACAATTAAATAAAAAATTTTTAAATTAAAAAAAGTAAATAAAAACATAAAATAAATGCATAGCACTAGTAAAAATATGAGTCATAAACACACGGATGAAATTTGAAAGAGCAATAGACGGAGAGATGCGAAAGAAGAGAAAGAAAAGCAGTGATAATGAGTAAATCGAACTCATTAGTTACAGAAGCCAGTTGAAAAGCCATGAGGATGTCAGTGACAGATCTGTACGAGTGACAATTCAAGATAATCAATTTGACTCTGTTTAAAACACAATCTGATTAAACGGCGTCTGACGAAACCATCAATCATCGCTTTTCCAACGACGCTGACAACCCCAATTCTAATTCTCATTCTATGAATTCGAGAATTAACTTTGTCGATGTGGATTACAAATGCCCGATGCAACGCAATGGCGCGATAAGTATTGCCAATAATGTGATTTTCAAGCGATAAACATATCTCTATTATAAACTCTAAAAATCCAAACTATGCGCGCTTTCTGGAAACGCTGCTAATGACGTGTTTTGAATTAATCTCATTGAAAGTACACAATGAAAATATTCTATCATTGTCAGGCTCAAGACTTGTATACTTCCGTGTTCAATTAGTCTCTTCTTGTGATATACAAAATTTCATCGTGGTCGACTCCTCACTCCCGTCGAAAAAATTGTAATTGAAATTTCGCTGAGGTGATCGACACGATTACAATCTCGCTATAAATATAAGCAACGATGAAGAAAAATCAAAATGAAAACTTACCCTTGAAATTTCTTCCCCACATTTTCCTGGTCAGATTACCGCCGTCTAACCGATTGACCTCACCCGGTTGTTCCGGCAAGCTCTCGTTAAGAGCGAGGGCGTAAAGCAGCACGGCGTCGTAAAACGCTGTCACAAAGGTGGAGACCGAACTGTTTCCGAAGGTGAAGTTGTAATTTTCTTGCGCCAAGGTCTTGACCTGGCGCGAAAAATTTAGGTATTCCAAGTTGTCTGGGGTGCGCGCTGTCACCGTCAGCAGAGCCTGATAAGCCTTACGGGCTTTCTCATTACGCTCGTTGGTGTCACCGTCGATTCTCCACGGCTCTTTGGAGTCGTTGTCACTGAAACACATTCGATACCGCGTTTCATTTTAAGTTTCTTGATAAAAATACGCGTTATTATACGCGAGAAAATAAATATTTTCTAATAAATAAATTTATAATGTATCACATATAATATTTTTACACCAGAATGCTTATACTTAATTATTTTAAATTATAGTAAATTTATAAAAAATTAAAGAAAATAAAATCGGATGGGCGTCATACAACCCTATAAATTTTATATTAAGAAGCTATATTGTAATACAAACTACAACAGCACAACAACATAAAATTCAATATCAGAGATAAGAAGCTGAAACTAATATTTCTGTTTTTTAACTTTTTTCTTATTTTTAATTTTTTTACATTTGAGTGAAATGAATTTATAAAAATAGATTTTCTCATACATAGAAACGTACATCGTACATGTGAAAAATTATTGAATTTTTCTCAATTTTCATTGTATGTGTATATTTTGTTTCTCTGACAATTACCTGAAATTGTTTATATTAAAATGACATATCGTGAAACGACCCAATTAATTTATGTTTCAATGAAACATTAATTATTCGAATGTGCCGTGACCGAACAGTTTTTCGATTTTATACCGTGTCAGAGATCATAACTTTCATTTTATGATGACCGATCGTTATATTATAATTGGGACGTATGTATATAAAAGCCACAAGTACCTATTCTATACATATATAAAGTGTGTAACGCTCGAATTACAAAAGGGGCGAAAGTTCATGTAGAAAACACGATGTCCTGGGAGCAATATACGTTTCTGTAGGATATGTGATTAAATAAAGTGATGTCGAAACACTCTGGTGTGCGTCTGCTCCAACGACACTGCTTATTGTATTTTTTTTGTTCCAGCATTTGTGCGCGCTTTTCTCTTTCACTCTCTCTCTCTCATGTTTAAAACCGAATAAATCGGTATAGTTTAAAAGCAATCTCACAAGTCGCGCGAAAAAATTCTTTCTCCTTCTGAACATTCTAGAAATTCTTCGATTTTCTAATCGACCACAGGAGTATCGACAATAAGTGTCCCCTCGATTATCCAAGGAAGAATCGAGAGAAAGTTAAATTGTTTATTTAATGAACGTAATTTTAAAAGATGTTATTTTTTTTGTGCGCGAGATTTATCATTCACGACAGGCTTTTCGGACTATTATCGGAAAATTGCCCGATTAATTTCACGGAAGATGGGTGAATAAAAATTCCAATTACTGCTAAAGTCACTGCTGCTCAAATTATACGAAATAGTTTAACTACTTTTCATTCTCTCTTGCGTTTTAAACTTTTAAACAGCTCTCATTAAACTAGAATTCATCGTTTTACTTCGGAAAAATCTGAAAAATTATAAGATCCGATTACGCGATAAATTCACGCGGAAATTTTTATTTGCTGGTTTTTCTTCTCCAAAAACAGATTTACTATCGATCCCTGGCTGGCAATAGTTTTATACAGATAATATTAGATCAGCATGAGGATTTGCTTATCCCGACTCTACTAATCTAAATGAAGGATCGCGGTTTGTGGTTTCCGATACGATAAATGAGGATTTTACTTGACCCAAAATCGCGCGATATCCTTCATTAATGGAAATAATTTTATTGTTCTTCTTTTTTACCCAAATACCGGATATTTCTTTTTTTTATGATTTATGACTATATAATACACAATCTCTATATCGTCTCAGAATCGATAAAATTCTACAAGATCCGCCTGGTCCGCTTTGATTTTGGCTGCAGATATGCAAGATCCTATCACCATCTCGGATAAGATAAGCAAGAAAACAAGACAGCGTCCGAGAATACACACGATCGTAAGAAACTTACGACCGCGAGAAATCACGTATACTACGACGCGTTTTGGAATTAGCAATTTCCCGGAACGACGCTTTTCAAAGGCTCGTTAAACGGCGCGATTGCACAATGTCCGCCCTTTGTACATACAGTAGACATGTATACTCAGTTTATTTAAGCGAGCGGAATGCTTCGCGATCTAATGCGAAACGACCGCGTGGACGACGGTGAGAGACATAAATTAGATTGAATTAGGCTACAAATGCTTTTTCAAATCTGACTTGGCGCGTGGGACGTCTTTGCAAACGGAACACGGAACACAAGTAAAATAAATACAGGTATCTAATATTATTGTAAACTGCATCGTGTGTGTTATTACGCTAAACTAATATTGGTACACGTTATTCTAGACAACCGTGGAAACTGAATTCTGAATATTTAGTCGAAATAATTTGTCGGAGAGAAATATACCGTGAGATATCTGTGACTAGTCAACAATAGAATAAAATATCAATTTTTATAGATAAATTGTATTTTTACGCTCGTGGATTTTGCAGAGAGATAAGAAATAATCTCTATTTTCTGTATGTATAGAATGAATATTTCTTCGATCCGCAAAAACACATTCGGCGTCGTCAGATCTCTTATTTATCCCTTTTTATTTGCCTCTCATCCCTTCCGAGTTACTGAAAATAGACGCGGTGTATTTCACTCCAATGTGCCTTCTGTATGAGCTCGAGCCGTGTACTAGCAACGACTTCACATTCGTTTTAATTACAAAATGGCTTTATATGTCCGAGCCGCATGCTATTGTACACGCTCGTTGCTTATGCTCTACTTTTTCACATGAAACTTGTGTTTTTCTGTGGTTTTCACGGATGCATTATTATGTTTGCTTTATAGCGCAAAATTTTCCAAATAACACCAATTAAATCACTAAATAAGATGTACAGATTTATTTTAACATTAACATACACGGAATGATTTAATTAAAATATGTAACTCGTGTAGGTTTGAAAAATAAAAATTTTTAAAAATAGAAACAATAAATATATATATATATAGTCCACACAAAAATAATTATGTCCGTAATACGCGATTCTATTAATTTCCTCTCTTTTTAAGCGGATTTTTTACGATTACCTGTCTGGTTGTTACGTTTTAAAAAATATGTTTTATTATAATTATTTCACGTGCAATATATTTTAATTTCTGTATGTTGAAACGCACTGGGAAGTACTTTTACACAGTTACGTGTATTTTTACTATGACTTTTTTCTCGACTCGTGCGACAATTGCACCGTAACGAATAACATACGCAATTACTCATGGTGATAAAATTGCAAGTTTACTCACCTGGAGGAAAGCTCTATGGAGAAGAACACATACTCTCCTGAGTCCACCATTCCGAGCTCTTCGGCAGCCAGCAATATTTCCCTGATGGTTGTTGAATTAGCGCACATCACCACGACTGAAAAAAGGAAAAAAGATTTCTTGTAAAAAGAATAAGAGAGAGAGAGAAAAATAGACAGAGATATGTCAAGATCTGTACAAATATTATTGCCGTCAGATCATTTTGTTAGACGCGATCGATTCAATTGCATCTGCAGTTTGCTATATAAAATGAGGTGCAAGTGTGTATTTATATAATTTTCTTTAAATATCGAGATATATAGATACAATTTCGCGTATCGACACATATATCCAAGTGCTGTATTTTTTTAAAAATACGTGACGCATAATCTAGCTACATCTGTGTAAATAACCGATTAAAAAATAATATTACATAATAAAACGCTAAATACAATTACTATTTTTATCACGCTCTTATTTTTTATGCCAGATACATCCTGTATTTGTAATTAACATTAAATTTAAGTTAATTAGATTACATCTAATTATATATCTTTTTTGAAAGACGTAATTAAATAAATTGTGTCCAAGCTGCTTTAAATTTATATTTTAAAGAGAAGCGGAAATTAAATATTTACAATTTTACTATATGAGTTTTCTTTATAATGAAGTACTTAATATCCACATTTTTTTCAAATATATAGATGCAAAATAATTTACATAATTTGAAATTAGGTAGGATAGATGTTTCAGTTAATTATATGATTAATCTCTCTCTCACAGAAATCAATACACATTGAATAATCGGTCACTCTGATTGATTCATATGATTATGCAATTTGTGGATAATTACGCACGTTAAATCACATATCTGAATCGTTAGATCAATTTATCTTCAAATTATTTAACTATTAGAAATTACAAAGCACGTCATAAGGGAAAAAAATACAGTAAAAAGTGGCAAATTATACTGTGTATAAAATTCAGCGATCTATAATCGTCGCAAAATATTCTACTTTGACATTTTTATCCTGGCTCAACGTAAATCCCAGCCGATACAACGCGGTACCCAGAGAGATGTATATACAAATGGAGGGAAAAAGATGAAGAAATTTCGATTTCTCTTTAAAGCGAGATACATCGAGAGCGTTCCAAAGTCACTCAAAAACATCGCTGTTCAACGCGTGAATATTTCCCCTTCGTCAAAACGTATCCTGTCAAGCTTCAACTTTGCATACACTGCAAGTATCGCGAAGATGAATGTTCTTCTAGCGTATCCGTGTTATATCGCGTATGCGATAAAATCCTGCGTAAATCCAGCAAATCTTTTATACACCATCATTCTTCAAACATTTCATTTCCTTCTCGTACATCAACCGCGAATTCAGTAAAATCGCCCGAATTTTATAAAACGAAGATATTGCGAAGAAAACTTGTATTAAAAATATACGAAGTTCATAAATTGGAAAAATTATATGTGAGCTCGTCCAGAGTCAATAATCTCTTTTATCGAGAGAAAATATTGAAAATATTCTTATATTGCTTAAATAAATTTCAGAAATCGCAGATTAAATTATAAATCGAATAGAACGATTTCAGATGATTTTTTTTCACTTTGAGTTTCAAACATATTTTTTGCGCGCGTTTTACAGAATTCGGAATAAAATCTACTCAGATTTACGCTCGGTTTTATTGACCGTTTGAATTTTTTAAAGAGAGAATCGACAGCGACGCTGTCAGTGATTGATTCACTCATAAATGCCCAATGTCAAACTATTAAAATTTGTAAAATTTATAATTCGTCAAATTGTCACGAAAATATTAGAATATATTGATAGATAAATTTTTACAAAAACATAGAGGAAATAAATTTTAAGAGAGAGACACAAATACACTTTCGCGAAACAATCCGCGGCAGCCCGTATTATCGTACCGCAACATGCCAAGCGAAATATAAACGTTTATTCGAGCAAAGTCGTAATCCAATTTTTATAGCAAGTCAAATACACGCCATTAATCGGTGCAATGCTCGCACACGTCACGTTGACTTGAGATTTATCAAACTATAGTACAAGTTATATCTGGACATAATTGAAGAAATTTTATAAAATTTTATAAATGAGGCAACGTTCTGCATCAAAATTAATTTTACTCAATCTAAACATTTTTCTCAATATATATGACAATAATATAATAAGCATAAAATAATAATAGACGTAAAAAAAAATAGAGATAATTGAAGTATATTTGAAAATCTGAGAAAAAATGTTAAAAGAAACTAAATGCAAGGAAGATTATTGATGGCAATCAAAATGTGTTTTAATTTCATGTATCAAAGTATGCCGGCCGAACTCTGTTTATTGATATCTAATAAAACATTTCATTTAACTCTGACATTGTCAGATACAAATTTGCTCCCACGTTTTGTCGCTTTTCCATGAACATAAACTTGCGAAACGATATTACGACAAACAACGCGTTCTATGTCATATTAATGCGTTATTTGCGAACGCAGCGAGCGAACAAAATGCATTATATCACAGCGTTGGGCGTATACGTACAATAAGATGCGAAACGACGTTGTCGTTGCATTATTACAGGTCGATTCCACTCTGTGTCTCATTAGAAATGCTCCTTGCTTGTAGTTAACCCGGCCACTTAGACGACTAACAAGAGTCATGTGATACAAAAGGCTAAAGTTTACTCTATTATATAAACGCATCCTATACCGATATCATAAGAAGATGTCGACTATGGCGCTTTCAGCCATATTTCCGTAGCCCCATTTAAAATGTTTCAATTAGTCAAAACCACAATTAGGAGAGAATGCAGAAAATTGACTGGATACAAAATGTACGTATAGGGTGACAATACAGTATATATTTAATTTGCTCCTTGATAATGTCTATACAGCGAAATACTGTCGCGAATATTGATCGCGTAATCTAGTTATCTCGTTGCACATCCTTCTTCATAAACTTCCCCATACTCGGATTTAATGTGGATTAACTCTGGGGGAGCTTTTTTGTCGTATCATCACTATAGAGTTATCCATTATTATCATCGCTGATATTTTCTCAAAGACGAGAATTCTCCTAAGACTTTTCCTAAGACATTAGTAAGCTGAAATATATTATTCCTTTGAAAGTTTGCACATAAAGATTCATCATAATAATTGCAAAAGTATCTTGAATACTTGCTCGATAAAAGACTTGAAATGTAATGAATTTTCGCTTTTTTTTTAGATCTTTTAGATAGGCAAATTTAAATAGAGATAAGGGATGTTGCTTAGCGTAAGGAAGGAACTTTTGATTAAGCAATCGCTGAACATCGTGCAGTAATATTGTGATAAAAATCTACTCAAAGGTTTTCACGCCGGTGCACAGAAAATATCGTGATAAACGATCGAGGTGTCGGGAACGTGACACCTTATATCGACTGAGAATGTGAACGATAGTAAAAAGCAGTCGGGGCGTAAAACGAAAGGACAAGACGGGCTCATATCAGTCTACGCGAGTAAAATGGGCGGATCGATGTTACATGGCACGTCTGTATAGCCGGGAATAGCCTCATTATCACATAGATCGAACTATCTCTCTACTTCTCTTTTATATCTCGTCTTTCGCGCCCGCCACTCCGAGACACACGGGTTTCCAAGACGGCGTTTGAATAGAGTTAAATGTAAACTCGTCATGTAATTTTCTTTCCCAGCATGATAATGTAATAATACTGACGCGATAAACGTCTATTCTGTTTCGAGGTAATTGGAGAAATGCAGCGCGAAATTTTCTAATGGAAGAAATATTATTACAAATAATTTATTAACCATAAAATAATATTGCAAAAAAAAAAAAAAAAAAAACAAATTTCAATGGGCTCTGAATATAAAATATTAAGATAAAATTAATTTTATTCCCAAGATTAATTAATAAAAAAATCTTTGGCACCCTACATGCAGTGCGTTGACTCTTATTTGTCTTTCTCCCGTTAAAAAAGTAAAAGTTTTAATTAAGTATAAAAAAGTTTTAATTGATTAATTGATTATATAATATATTGGAAAGAGATAGTATATAATTTCCGCGTCCTTTGATATTTTCATAAAATCGTATCATTAATATTCGTATAAAATAATTGCTCGCAATAATTAATATTAATAATTAATATGTATTAAATATGTTATGTAAAATTATTTAAAGTTCTTTTAAAAACACATACGTAACCGTACATGCAAAAAACCACAAATGCATGCATATATGTATGATTGTATTTGCTTACGCAAAACGTTAACGATAAAATCGATAACAGCGTACCATTAATGGTACTTATTCCTATTAGTAATATTAAGACTAAACGTTTTTACACAATATATCGAGTTATTACCCAAGCAATTAAATATAAAGTAGATATCTCTGTTATCAGAGTTTATTGTCTTGAATATTTTTAGCACAATAATGAAGAACTCGACACGATTCTGAATCATCGAATAATGACAAAAATTCGATAAGAGCTTTTGCGACAACGAAACTTTAAAAATCGCAATCAATCAGCGATTTGTGGCATTTGCTAATAATTTTGCATATATATTGATGATGACGCGCCACATTCTCGAGTTAATGTCGAATTCTCGAAAATCGGTTGGCGTCTCGATCTTACCCGCGAATTCCTCGCGGTTTTACACCAAGAATCTCGCAATCAAACAACCGATTAGCATTTGCAATAATAATAATAATATAATTTAATGACCTCATATCTATTAATAACATCAATAATTACACAATGATAAATTATTAGCCAATAATTCACTAAAAAAGCGAAGAAAATATAGAGCATGTGAGATATATTAAATATACAATTTTCTTTTTTCTATCAATCATTATTATCTCCAAAAATAATAGATCTTTGAAAATTTGAGAGATTGATTTCTGAATTCAATTTTTCTTAAAATATACCTTTATACGTTCTTTGTAGAGTAATTTTCATTAGAAGAAAATACGAGAAAAATAATCTCCTTAATTATATTATATTCCTTAATTGTATAATGTAATATTCTCCTTAATTGTATTATATTGTTTAATTGTATAATGTAATATTCTCCTTAATTGTATAATTGTTGTAATCATTGTTGTTATAAATATATATTTATCACAATCGATAAATGTCAAATGTTACTTGATAATAAAGGTCAAAAATATTTGTACGTTATCTCGGAAATCGCGAGTGGGCGGATAGAACCAAATTAAAGAGACACACTCTGCAGCTTTCATTTCTATTGAAAATAAGTCTATCGTAAACTATATGTAATACGATTTAACGATTCGGAAACGTTGAAAGCGATGGGAAACGAGCACGGAGAAATGTTCAAGATGCGGCTCACATAGAAAGTCACCTATGCGATATTTTGTTCACAATATAACATATGAACGACGATTCAATTAATCCATTCATGACGTAACTCGGGAATTATGGTATTTCCGAGTCCGAAATACATCAACTGTGCCCCGAAGAGAAATTTCCGCTTGATTATACGATTTGCTGCGTGTTCAATTTTCGCAAATTATGTAAAATAATTAATCAGAATTATAACGCACGTGTGGGCGTTACTTGGATTCAGATACAACATTGAAGTGTAAAAGTTTGTCAGAACGTCTTTCGTCAATGGCGGTGCGTTGCTCACAGGATGAAACTGCTAATGGAAATTTATTTGATGCTCGTACATCTAAACTTTGGTTGACGAGCTCAAAGTCTTAAACGCGATCAACGAATGGAAGGCAAGGGCGCATTTGTAAGACCAAACTTCGTAAACGATATCAATTAATTGACGTTGCCGAAGTTCACCGTTCGTATTATCAAGCGCACAGTTTCGCAACACGATGTGTCCCTCAACGGTATACACATTACATACTTTGTCGACTGCAGGAAAGGCTGATTGATTTATATAAAGTCTTGCGCAAAGCAGAAGGCTACTTAGGCAACGCTTAATAACGTTAGACGAGTCTCCGCGTGTCTTCATCGAGTATCTATTAGAAAACCCGATATTAATATATAAAGGAAATATGTGCTTTCCTCTTATACGATACGACGGCAAGATTACAGGAAAAACCTCGCTTGGTAGAGTTTAAATTTCTATCCATAAAATATGAGATAATTTTTCGAAAGAAGATTTCAAAAATTTGATTACCTCTTTGAACGTGTATTTTCTATAATAGATTATAAATACTTATTTAATAATGATTTATGTCTATACGGTAAGAGTCTCATTTTTACGAGCAAGAATATGTCTTCCGATGCCTTATATCTTTCTTCGTTTAAAGAGAGTCTTATAAAGAAAATAAATTAATATCGACATCGCACAGATCGGGATCGAACAAAGACTTACTTCTTGCGGATTTGGAGACGAAGGTGAGCAAGTCCTTGTAATCATTGGCGTTGGTCGTCTCCTGATTGAAGCTCCTGTGTACCGGCGTTTGGTTGAGCGCCGTATATACGGCGCTCACCGTGAAATGGCACTCGGAATTACCTTTGCTGCTGGACACCGCGTAATTGTGGAAGAGAAGGCCGGCGATTTTCCACCCGAAACGCCGTAGAATATGTCTGAGCGCCTCGCCTACCAAGCGATGAGAGCCCATCATCCTGGTTAACGTTGGATAATGCTCGCCCTTGTAACGGAACGCCTCCGCTTGCGCGCCCGCCGTTAACACGGGTATGTTCCATTTGCCCGCGTACCTGGCCACAGGTGCGATCACATAATCGCACACGGGACCCAGAAAGGCATCTGCTCGCGATTCGGAAAGAAAATTCCGGAAATTCATCGCGAGGTTTCAACATTTCGCTCACTCAGTGTCGGGAGGCCCAAGATTTTTCACAAATCCTTCATTTTATTTTCTATGCTTACATTCTATATGTATATATATAGGGTGTCTGACATAAGGTGTCATACCAAAAATATACAAGTAGATCTTGTTGATTGGAGACAACTTTTCCTCGGCAAAAATATTGAGGCATCAATAATTTTCGATTTATAAGCAAGTGAAAAGAAAGGATTTTTCGCAAACTATATAAGCCTTGTGGAAATAAAATATTGACAAAAGCACATTCTCCATTAATTTCAATAAGAGTTTAATTTAATAATAGTTTTAATTTAAAGTTTAGTTACAAAGATACATGATGGCAAAAATTGGGAACATGCAAAAAATAATCGCCTCTTTTCATTTTTGCTGAGAAAATCGTCTTCAAATAACGAGATCTATGTACCTGTATATTTTCGGTGTGACACTTTATGTCAGACATCCCGTATATATACATTCATAGTAGATAAGCGATCCGCTCGTCTTTATCACAAAATGCACTCTTGTGACAAATTATTTCGGTCTTTTATTGGAGTTGATGTATAAATCAAATTTTGTTGCAGAGTTTTTGCCTGTCTGACTCGTACATAAATTAGAGTCCACACTCGTGTCAGGACTGACGGAGCGAGGTGATGAGACACATAACGAGATAGAGACTCACGCGCGAGAAATAGAGAACACGAATCTGAATTTACCGGTGAATCCGAATATTGGCTACTCCGCGTTATAATCCTATCACGGTCACCTATAATCTGATACGCCGATAACAAGTATATTGTTTATCGAGGAGAACTTGGGTTACAAGAGGCGCATAAATGTACATAGGTCACGTGGTTGATTAACGTATCGATTGGTGGTACATATGAGCAATTAAATTAAGCCGGTACATCTCGTGCTCGCTCACATATGCACTGATACGAGGGAATACACTTTAGATCGAACCGCAACATATCGAAACGTGTGTCGATACGCAATATTTTCGATAAAATCCGTGTTTTTTTATAGATTTAATAATACGCCGAATGTCTTTGCTGTAACTGCGATATAAATTCATATGTGACATTTGTATATAAAACCCTGCTACAGAATTTGGCAAAACAAATGTCCGAGGGAAAAATAACTCTTTTTTTTTATATCGTCCGCTTTACACGTGGATTTTCACGACTTGTTTCCGCTATATGTATGCACACACATGCATATACAATACAACGCGATGCTTTTTCGAATATACGCGCACAATTAAAATTCCACTAACCGACTCGATATCGCGAGTTCGCGGTTGGCTAGATAAAATGTAACATGTGCAACACGTGTTGTGTAAAACTGCCGGAATAAAGAATGACTGTTATCTAATTAAATATATTGTTATTGCCTTGATTGCCAGGAGAAAAATACGTATATATACGCTTGTTTTTCGCGGCGATCTCAAAAGCGATTTCATTATTTTCTAAACAATGCTCTCGTCACAATTAGCGGGAAAGCATTCATAACGAGACGTCGCGCGGACGAAGTAAACAGAGGTATTTTTCAAATATTTTCACCAAGTTTGCATTTTATTTTTTGGCGAAATAACTGCTTCAAAGGATACGAACAAAAATGCATGCCGACATACATATTTTCTCACTTACAGTTGCATTGGCTTTTATATACAGAATGTCCGGTAACTAACGGGCCAATGATTAAGGGCGGATTCTCTGGCCAATTTGGAGACGATTTTTCCTTAGCAAAAATGTTGAGAAGTCAATAATTTTCGAGTTATAAGCGATTGAAAAAAATGGGTTTTGGAGTTAAAAGTCTAACATAATTACATTCTTCAGTTAATTTCAGGTAGAGTTTACTATAATAACATTTTAATTTAAGGCTTAATTATAAAGATACATAATGACAAATATTGGAAAGTTGTAAAAAATAATGACCTTTTTCGACATTTTCGCTGAGGAAAAATCGTTCCCAAATTGACCAAAGAATCCATTTGTAATCGTTGGTCCGTTAGTTACCGGACATTCTGTATAGATAAAGGAGCTCATATACGTTTGCTTCATTTATATATGTATTTGTTGTGTGTTCACTCATTAAGACTAAAGCACGCTAAACTGATTCTCAATTCCCGTTCGTATTTACCCGCAAGCAATGCGGTTCTATGGACTCGCGGTTCTAATTAGCAATCACAGATGATATTACATCGCTGTAGTTTCCGCATGTATAAAGGCAAACATTAGCCGCGTAATAGCCAAATGACACCGGTGGGTCTCTATGTGTAAAGCTCGCATATATTTACTGTGACATCTTCGAAATCGCGGTTCGCCCAATTTAGGGCATTCAATCTTCATCGATCGCGCCGTTTAATATGATAATAACTGCGTTAGATTATCCGGCGTCATTGTGGCTGCAAATTCCAGGGTAAAGCGGTTACGGCCGATTAACGTGCATACGTTCCCACCCTTCTCCCTCTCCAATGTCACAGCTCTGCATGCGGTCGCTTTTATCCTGGTAAACTGCCAAAGTTGACGCCAAGTTTATGGCAACTACACGCCACGAAGATTTCCGCGGGAAACTTGTAAGTCCGAGAACGTCCCTCGCGAATCACGTGTATTAATTCTCTTTTATGTAGCTTTTTTAATAATTTTAGTTTAATTTAATCCAGTTTAATTCCCAGTTTAATCGTACAAATTTGTTTGACTCATTATTTTTTAATTTTATTACTTAAATGTTAAATAACATTAAAAATATTAAAAATTACGTAAATAAAATTAAATGTAATTCTGCATTAAAACTATATTTTAATATTAAAAGCTTAATTGTGGATATATTTAATATAGGTATGCGACAAATCTCACGTTTCGATTGTTAAAGATAAATTGACTCTAAACTTATCACAAAATCACACTTGAAATTATTTGACAGTTTCGATATAGCCGTATCATAATCGTATAGCCAGACGCTTTTTATATTACTTGATATCTCGATGGCTACTTATTTAAGCGACTTATTTATTTGAAGTAAGAATTTAAGCGATAAGAAATGAGATATACATGTACATTTATGATTCGAATATACATATATATCACATCGCAATTAAGAATAGCTCGAGTGATTAATAATAATTAATTTTTTATACTGATAGAGCGAAACGAAAAAATGCAATGTAAATATAATTTTTAATTATAAAATATATTATAAATTATATTAGATTGCAAAATTATAAAATATGACTACCTGAAAGGGTAACTTGACGTTGATAAAAGAGTTTCGTAAAATTTATCCTAAAGGGAAAGTTAATAAGTATCTAAAACATTATATTATCGATTTTCGTTGTGCTCTGTGGATGATTTGTCGCATCTTTTTTAGTGATATCCTGATTTTGCATTTATAATTAGTAACTTTTCAATACTAATTTATAATTTGTAAGTTTTCAATACCGATAGAATTAAATATCTTATTGACGTGATGGGTCAATCGATTCATCTTATTTGCTTTAGACTTAGAAACTTGTTAGAGAAGAATTTAAACATCAGCGGAAGAACACCTGCGGTGAGTAATTTATTATTTGTAATTATAATAATAATAATTAATTATTTATATTAGTTATTTATTAATAATGTACGCGCGAATAATTAATTACTGTATTACAAATATTAAATTATCTACATAATTAATCGCATAATTTGATTTGTGGATTTAGACAAGAGAGAATTAGAGAAAGAAATCTTTATATGAAAACAGTAATCTTGTAAAATTTTTCTATTTTTGTAGGATTATTGTAGAGTTATTACAATTCTGTAATAACTCTACAATAATCCTCTAAAAATAGAAAAATTTTACAAGATTACTGTTTTCATATAAAGATTTCTTTCTCTAATTCTCTCTTGTCTAAATCCACAAATCAAATTATGCGATTAATTAAGTAGATAATTTAATATTTGTAATACAGTAATTATACAGTATTAGTAGAACCTTTCCAAAATGTATAAAATTATTTGTATATAAAATTATTCTCTATACTATAATCTGCTTATTATTGTACGCCTCAAAAATAAAATTCAATGCGCAGAATAACTTTTTCAATAATTAATTAGTTTGGGCGTTGCTACAATTTATATCCATTTCTATGTTACAAATCAATATAGTTTCAATGCTGTTGCGTATCAACTGGTGAGTCACAAATTTTGATTTTATTTCATGGTAAATGAATTTGTGATAATATTTCCAATAATATGTCTTTGGATATATATGATATATACCCTATAGCAATAAGGTAAAAATATAACAAATAGAAACATATGACATATCATAGATGTTATTTTAAACCGAGGACAGCGGCGTAACAAATTTCAATTAATAACAAAATTTCTTTTAAATATCTTAAAATAAATTTCTACATTGGAATCTAAATTTATTATTTTAAAATATTTTTCTCTCTCTTAAAATATTACTTGTATGCTGAATGATTAAAGGAAAAAGAAAAATTATTTTAAAATAAAAATAAATAACATTTATTTTAATTTGTACGCACAAACAAGAAATAATTGTTTCAATTATTTTATGAATTTTATAAACAGTTTCAAGAAATGAGTAATTTAACATCGGCCATCAGAGGATTAAAATAAATAAACTAGAATATTTATAGTCTGAAGATCTTTTTATATAATATAAAATCTATCACGATCTGAATGACATGTGCAATGAAAAATTGAGTTAGAATGACAGAGCCAAGACATTCTACTTTCCGAATAATCTATTGCAGAAAAGAATTTTGTTTACATAGATTATTCATTACAAAAAAAAAGATAAAAAGCAAGAATATATATACCTTAAATTTTTTAAACTTTTATTTACATATAAATATATGTTTAAATTTTATTTTTTTATATACCTGACGTTTTTATGTTTTTAGAAAGATTTTTCTTTATTAAATGTAAATATTTTG